ATGCACCCAGCTATGCTGATGGAACACAAGTAGCATTCTCTGATCACTGTCTCTGCTGCAATCGCCATTGCTGTTTATATAAAACACTCATGCCATTGTCTCTTCTCGTCTGCTCTTCAATCTTGTCAATATTTTTCAACGGAATTCGGTGTAAATAATGTCTTGAAATTCAACCAGACGACAAAACCCCCTGGGCTTTATGAATCCCAGGTTTCTCTATTATATGAGATGATATAAGATCGTTCTAGTGTAATCTGTGACCATGGTATTACAAAGCAATTGTTGCCTGCTGTCACTGGGTCCATGGGTTTTGTACACCTCCAGGGCAAATGGCACCTTTGGCTTCACCTCGAGTACCATTTGCCCCCTTGGGTCTACAAAACACCATGGACCCCTACAACGCAGGCAACAACTGTTTAGTGACACACTCTACATGTACATGTACCTCACATTACCATTAGGAGGCTGATTCAGTCCTTGCATTGACACATGCAAGCATGTATCATGGCGATAGGACGGCGTACACCAATTTTTATGATAATTTATGCATTTGTAGTTCAATATACTTAATTTAGAAAAGTTTTGCATAACTATTTTGCCAAATACACCACGTATATTTGTTAAATATAATGGCCGAAGAGGAAAGGGTATTCCTTTCAAATAAAGAAGAAAAGACCTGACCATGAATACCTTATTTTGTAGGTGTTGGATGTGTGAAAGGATTGAAGTTTTCAACATTTCCTTGGTTGTCCCTTACACCAACAGACAGACATGTGCTGATCTCCACCAACAGGTGAATAATAAACTTAACAGTAATAATGAACTTAACAGTCAATTGTACCCAAACACAAAATGTGATTTACACAAGGAGGGTATTAGTTCTGTTGGGGAATTCATGAAAGCTTGTAAACATGCCAATGATGTAGTCAAGTACTTTTTGTGAACCAAGTTCTCTACCAAATTTTTAACTAGTTAGGAGGGAACAAAGCTGAAGTACATCGGCATTTGATGGTACATGCATAAAGGTAAGATTACAAAGCAACATAATGACTTCAGACCATCTCTGTTTGATTAAAATTAACTTTTTAGGACAAAAGTACTGGGAAAGTGCTCGGCTGAGTACTTTCCGAGTACTTTTCTCCTTAAAACTTAAATTTTACACAACTGGGAGTGTCTGAAGTCTAACATTATTTTGTAATCTTACCTTTGCACATTTACCATCAAATGCCGATGCACTCTGGCTTTATTCCCTCTTAACCAGTTCAGTATTTTGCAGAAAACGTTGGTACATGTACTTGGAAAGTACTTGACTACAACACTGAAACATGCATGGTTAAGAATACTTGAGAATTGGGGATCTGGCAAGGTTTATCAGTAAAATGTGTAGTGTGATAGGAATCATGTAGTGTACATTGTATTTTCACATTTCATTAATATATGAAAATCAATAATTTTTAACACCACTGACATACACGTACATATGGTCCATTCCAGACTTTGAAAATCTTAGTGCTTGCTTTGTGGAAATATATGTAATGCCTTTTTCCAGGTTTCCTTTTTCACACACAAAAATTCAACGACAGTACATTTTATTTCCAGACTGGTGATTTAAGCATCAGAAAAAATAACTTTGTATGCATATGTGTAAATAGTATGTACATGTACACCTGTACATTGTAATGTAAGAATCCTTGGTTTTGCATGGAATAACGCTTGGTTTATCTTTCCATTTCTCACCAAAATGTACAGTTCTTTGTGCAGTCCGAGACCCAGCATTGTACTCACCTCATGTGAATTTGTCAGCGGTGTTGTGCTGCAAGACTTTCCAGCTGAAATATTTTTACAGAGGCCCAACATCACCAAGGTTTGTTTTTACAATTTCATGTACCTTCCAAAACTTAAGAATACTCAGGTGAAAATTTTCATAAAACCCAGTTCAATCTTGTTTTTGCTGAGAATGTCAGCCTCGTCAAGGTCACATAGGAAACCTGACATCAAGTTAAGTATTACATGAGGACAGGCAATGCCCTCTCGGCTTCCAAAGTTGTGTAGGTTGTTATTTGCATCAAGCAAAACTACACATTGACCACTGTTGAAGTGCCTGTTAACAAGACGCAAGGACAATGCAGTGCCACTTAAATGACTCCAGTTGAACTATTTTTGTGAAATCCCATTGTTAATAACATTTTGCTGTTGGTTGTATCTCACTGCATTCATGGTTTCTGCCAATGCACACTTGCCTTTGACTGTGGTCCCAAGTGGTCAGCTATACTAGTGTATCCATCTACCTTTTGAGTGGCATTGTTTGGAAATTTGGTTAAACTATCTGCCTTGAGCAGAAGCACCCCATCATCAGTTGAAAAGAGCCATGTCAGAAGGGAGCGACCAATCAAGCACCATATCACTGGGAACAACACAACTATGATGGATGCATTTTACAATTGTTTGTAAACTAGTGAAGAGCAAGTCCCACCAAAGGAGCCACTGCCACAACGAAAATGCCCTCTCTTGGTACAGCTCAGGGCAAATAATTGTAACTCGATTCGCTCACTAATTCAACCTTCCTAACAATGGGTTAACCTACATTTAGTCCTCCAAAAAGACAAACAGAATGGTGTTCCTGTTAGTGCACCTAAAGATACATGCAGTGTATTTCAATGAGTTGGTCCTCTAATATTAATGAAGACAGCAGTGGCTTTGTCAGACTTGGATGTGAATCTTGATCACAGTGACTTCATGTCAGACCATACTATATTTTGCTACAGAGTCTGTTATCTTTGCTTGGTCTGAAGCCACTCAGCATTGGTGATAACTCCATAGCCCTCAGTGCAATCAAGTGCTTAAGGGAATTATCCACTCTGCTGCTTTCACGTCACAAATTTTATCATGATCCTGCCTTATATTGCCCCAAACAAGGTAAGTACATTAGAGTTGATTCTTTAAGGCTGCACATATAAGAGCGCTGTTGTGCATTTCGTATGGTTTTGATGTTGGAAACTGGTGATTTTTTGACTTTCGTAGTGTTTTGTAGTCAATGAAAAGGAATATAAATGATTTGATTTCAAAAAAATATTCAATTTTATTCTAACTTTGTAGAATACCAGAAACATTATTAAAAAAAACAATTATTAGTAATTGCATTTGAAAGTTAACGCTGCAAAAAGGAATGGGAAAAAAATTGAAAGGAATTCACATTTTGCATTTTGACCACAACTTTTCCCCCCTGTGAATTCGCAGCGAATGGGATGCGAAAGGGGCGAACGACGTGCGAAAACAGTGCGAAAATGGTGAGAATCATTCGTGAAAACGGCTTGAAACATTTGCAAAAACATTGAGAAAAAAACAGTGTGCGAAAACAGTGTGAAAATTTTGCAAAGGCGGTGCGAAAGGTTCCAAAAATCATGCGGAAACTTGCGAAAACGAGAAGCATTGTGCAGCGAAAATGCTCAACACTTGCCACACGCGCATGACTATTATGCAGTGAAGAGTCCATTACGCAGGCTGTGCTGCGCTTTGGGCCGGTCGGGGCAAACTCACCATGTGGAGTGTGCTGCTGTGGTCTAGTAGCGATTTCCTCGGCCGAGCCGTCCGGGCCATGCAGCGCGATCGCGGGGATGTGCTCACCACGGCGAGCCGCGCCCGCGTGGCGCAGTTGTTTGCTTGGATTACCATAAATATAAATCAACACTGGTCAATGTCGGAGAATAAATGTCTAAAAAGTTGTCTGGATGTTGAGTGATTATTAAAACGGGAGTCCCTAAGTCATGAAGCACATGAAATGTGTGTATTACAACAAACTTAACTTGCTCTTCTGTGGCAACCTGGGTTATTTGGCCACTTTTTATTTATTCTCGTATGTCGTATTTTGTTACCGAAAGGTTTCTTTCGATCGACAAATAAAACCAACTGCTTTAATTGTATGTGTATCTTCATGTAGCAAATCTCGTCTTTTCGCCGATTGTGTTCAGAGGGACATATCGGGTCTATTTTCACTTGGGTTTCTAATGACATGTTACTTTCTGTGGTCACATGGTAATAGAGCACCGAAGTGAATACGTCACGTTCCCATGGTGATACTCGGACTGGCTCTACACAAGTCCCATGTGCACTTGAGAACTCCATAAGAACACATACAAATCTATACCGTTATGCGCCGTGCCTGTGAGTTAAAGCCGTGGAAGGAATTTCTATCTCTAGCTTGACTGCTTGTTTTAAGCACGACGAAAAATTGATACGAAGAGGTGAGAATCACTTCAAATCAGGCCATGTGGAAACCATGATGTATTCCTGTAGAGTTCTTCGAGGATCTGTTAGAACAAGCATGAAAGACAAGGTGTACAAAGTCACGGTAAGAATAAGATTGGAGTGCACTACGGTTGGACTTCACCCCGTTAGGCTAGGCCAATCACTGTGATTGTGAGCTTCAGTCCAGGAGTAGGACAAGGCTAACCAACCCGTCTTTTGATCCCATTCCAGGCTTGATCAAGCTTTACACTTTAGTCTTCCTGCGCTCAGCAGGTGTTACCAGTGGTACTTGACCTTTTAAAGGTCATTTTAAACTGTGCCCGAACTTCGTGGAATGACCCATATGCAAGGCAATTAGGCCTACCTGCACTAATTTTTGTCCAGTCATGCTACCACTACTGAGTACTACTGAGTCTTGTGCTAGCCAATTGATGCAAAACAATATGTACATGTACTGTTTTAGGCCTCAGTTTTGTCTGTGGACATAGGTGTGTCTTTCAAAAATAGCTATTTGGTTGGGATTTATAACCGCCCTCTCATCGACCACATGCATGTATGTATCATGTGCATAGAAGATGGGGCGGGGCAAAGCAATAGGGCGCTTACAGTACTAGTTTCTGCCCCCTCCCCACACAGACACGCACACTGTTTACATTTAAGCACACTTTTTGCATGATTGTCCTTTGTCAAAGAGTGAGTATACATATATGTGTATTGTTTTATAGCACTGTAAAACCATATTGGAAGCGTGATTCGTGGCCAAATCTCGACTAAGGATAACTATTTTTGATAATAATCGTGCATGCCTACTCTCAGACTTAACCTTCAGTGGTGTTGATGCCTACTTGAAACCCCAATGACTAAAAATTTAAAAGTTTCCCCCTCCATGGAAAAGTTTCTGTGGATGCCGATGGCTAAGAAAATATTTTGTCCTCAACTTTTCCAGCCATTGCTAAGCCCCTTTGTAATTATGACAGGTGCTTCCCACATTACTTCTGACATTTCCGCCTATGATGAAGCTATGCAGTATTATTTGTTTTGATTTGTACAGGTCTACATTGAAGAGAGGGAGATCAAGTCCAGCTAATGTGAGTGCCCAAGAGGAGTCTTCAAGTGCAGCCATGCAGCAGCTCTTCTTATTGCTGGTATTCACAACATAAGTTCAACGGATGTAGAGTGTAGGTGGAAAAAGCCGAATCCCCCCACTGAGGTCAAGTCAGTTCAAGAGTTATATCCACCTCCCAAAGACTGCAACCCCTTGGAAAGGAACATTACGGATGAGGATCGTAGTTGGCTGTACGGTGAACTGAAACGATATGGTCATTTTACCGGCACATATTGGCTAATGTCACCTGAGCCAGAAAAGGGACAAACATTGCCAGTTTCAACTGTACAAGAAATAATTCTTTCTAAAGAATTCAAAGAACAACCAGCAAAGGCAGAGTATCTTCTCGACAAACTCAGAATAAATTTTGAGCAACAGATAGCCGTGAATATTCACACTGAAGGCCAGCGAGAAAACCCAGCATGGCATATTCTCAGAAAGGGTCGTCTCACTGCTAGTAACTTTTGAAAAGTTTTGAAGGCAAAGAAAGTGGCTCCATCGCATTTTAAAAGAGTGCTTGGAGAATATGATGTATCAGGTGTTCATGCAATCAACTGGGGTATTGTGAATGAAGAAGACGGAGTGAAAGCCTTCACAAATGCAACTGGGCTGAGTGTCGATGATTGCGGATTGTGGCTTCATGAATGTGGTGCAATAGGAGTCTCTCCAGATGGAATGGTCAGCACAGATGCAATACTAGAAATAAAGTGCCCCTTCACTCAAAGAAACTGTACAATTCAGGAAGCAATCAATTCTAAACACTTCTACATGTACATCAAGCGTGGAGAGGATGTCCGTTGTGAACTTGACAAGAAACATGACTATTGGCACCAAGTCCAAGGGCAGCTACATGTAACAGACAAGTGCTGCTACTTTGTTGTTTGGACGACAAAGGAGGCACTTGTAATGTCAACTATGAAGGACTCCACTTGGGAAAGTAACATTGATGTGCTGAGGGACTTCTACAAGAGAAATATTATCCCTGCACTGCTAAATCAAGATTTACATGTATGTTAACCACTACCTGCCGGGGACTCCGGAATCGGAGATGTATGGTTT